TCAAAATCGTTTGATCGGTTTCGATTTCTTTGATCGGTTTCAAAATCGTTTGATCGGTTTCTTGTCGCATTGACTTGTTTCGATTTCTTTGATCGGTTTCAAAATCGTTTGATCGGTTTCTTGTCGCGGTGACTTGTTTCGATTTCTTTGATCGGTTTCAAAAAGTTGTTTTAATTTATGAGGGGCTCCCTGCTGGCGGGGGGAAGACCCGTGCGTAGTAATCGCGTCCGACGCTCAAAAGTCGGTGGATAGACAGACGAGTTGCGGGGAGCACTGCATGCTTCTTGCGATCGGACACCCGCCAAAAACTTATTCGTTTGCTGGATTCGCACGACCCAAAACTTTCACGGAACCGTTGGACACTGATAATATATTTCAAAAAATTGACGGGGGTTTGAGTCTGCTACCATTATTGTTTTTAAAATAAGCATTTCATAGCAAGAGAAAGATGCCTGAAGCGGAAGAAACTCCTGTAGCCACAGAGATGGAGCCGCCATTTGAAGAGGACGCTGTGTCTGAAGGTGACGAAAAATCAGCAACCGATTCAATGGCGGATTTACCTCAAGAAGAAGAAGAAAAGAAAGAGGGAACACCTAAAGATGGAGATGGAATTACCAGCACGTCCCAGATCTTAAAGGAGGACTTTTCTAAATACAAGACAAAGGTTGCCTACCGTCTTGCGAAAGCACTGGAAGAAATGCCAACAGATAGTGCTTATCGTAGCCCTGATCTCGTACCGCTGGCTACAGACTTTCAAACTATGAGAAAGAAGCTGCGTTCATTGATTACATCCGCCAAAGCTTATCAAAGTGCAACTCTGAAGGTACAGGATGCTCGATCCAAGGTAAATTCATTTGCACTCAATCCGATGTTGATCCAACTTGGTGTGCATTATCTAATTTTTTTTATTGTCACAGTTGTATCAAGAGTACGCTATCTTGTCAAAAGATACTCCTATCTACGATTACGTGGGCAAGGAGCTCGACCAAGATGCTCTAATGGCTCTGAACGACTCAGGGAATGGAAAATCAAATGCCACTGCTGAGGAATTGGAACTTCAGGCAAAATCAGCCTTGAAGCTAAACGATCAAGGTGTGCCATCGTTGGCTTCCATTCAACAGCTCGCTACGTTGCACGAGAAAACCAACGCAGTAGACTACCAACGTCACATCTTGGATTACATCAATGAGTGGGAAGAAGTAGTCACTACGAAGATTGAATCAGAGCTTGCTATGGTAAAAAAGTTGCAACAAGACAGATTGCACTATGAGAAAAAGATCGAGGGACTTCGAAAGAAATCGGTACAAGCAGAGAACAAGGGAAAGAAATTATCTGCTTCGCAAGAAGACAAACTTAACCGTAATGAGAAGAAACTCAAAGATGCATGGCAACTTCACGAACAAAAGGCTGCCGAGGCTTGCTTTTTGATTGAGCAAGTTACCTTACATGGGTGGAAGGACTTTTATCCTTTGGTTAAGAACACCATGAAGTGGGAAGTGAACCGACTTGGAAGAGAAAATGTCACATATGGAAGATTGCCCGCGACTTTGGAAGCCATGAAGGCCAGTTATTTGGCACAGACGGACAATGAAAAGAACTAAGTTTCTCCTGTGTCAGCACAGCGATCAGGTCCCACGAGTGTCCTCGGGCACTATGTTTGATGATGCTAGGTATTTAATTTGAGTGGTGTTCATATGAAAGAAAAGAAATCTAGTGCATAAAAGTTGTATTTACTTAAGTTCTTCAGATAGTCTCTTGCAGGCTTCGATCACAGAATCTCTTGGGGCGAACGCGCTCAATCGAAGGAAACCTTCACCACCCGGTCCAAAACCTGCTCCTGGAATAGTAACAACTTGACACTTTTCCAGGATCATGCTGAAGGCATCCCAAGACCCACCCATGGATTCAGAGAGCTCAACAAAGACGTAGGGAGCATCAGTTCCACCGTGGACAGTGAATCCGAGACCTTCCATCGTTTCTCTCAAAATCTTGGCGTTTTCAAGATAGTAGTCGATCAAATTAGAGATCTCCTTTTGACCTTCGGGATCCAAACAAGCCAGACCGCCACTTTGAACAATATTGGAAGCTCCATTGAAGGCAGTTGTCATGACACGGTTGAAGTCATCACGAACGAGACTGCCATCTTTGAATTTCAAGTTGCTTGGAACAACTGTCCATCCAAGACGGACTCCTGTGAATCCAGCATACTTACTGAAGGAGTTTACCTCCATTGCTACATCTTTGGCCCCTTCAATTTCGAAAATGGACTTCGGGACGCCCTCAGAGCGGATGAAGGGAGCATAAGCTGCATCGAAAACAAGAATGGACCCCCGTTCCTTACAGATATTAACAATTTCTGTCAATTGCTCCTTTGTGGCAGCTGCACCAGTAGGGTTGCTAGAATCCGAGCGTTTTATGTGTTAGTCAAATGGACCATGGCCTCAATCCTGCATGGAAGAATAGACTTACTTGGGACTACAAAGGTATACAACATCAGCTCTCGGGAGGCTGGCGTAATCGGGAAAGAATCCATTCTCAGGTGTGCATGGCATGTAAACGATATTATCATATTGCATTGTGCTCTCGTCCTGCGATCCAGTTTGCCCCATCATGACAGAAGTGTCAACATAAACGGGGTAAGAAGGATCTTGAACGGCACTTGTGACCTTCGAACCGAACACTTGTTGTACTCGCATGATGTCACACTTGGCACCATCAGAAACAAAAACTTCAGAAGGATCAATCAAATCATTGTACAAGACCTTTGCAATCTTCTCTCTCAAGAGAGCTTGACCTTGCTCAGCTCCATATCCCGAGTATCCTTCAGTTGTGCCAAGCTTCTTCGCCCCCTCGACCAGACCACTGAGGATGTGCTCGGGGATGGGCTTTGTGGTGTCTCCAATTCCGAGCGAAATGATTTTGTCAGCCATTTCTGGATTATCTTCCAAGTAGGCATTTCGACGACGTCCAATCTCGGGAAACAAATATCCACCTGACAGCTTTGCAAAGTTCTCATTTCTTTCAACGCCTGAATAAAGCTTGGTGTCAACAACATTTTGGCTCTTTGGGACAAAGGCACCAACAGATACGGTGACGAAGCCAAGAGATACGACGGATAGAGGGCTGAACTTCATGGTTTCAATTGAATGATGGAATGGTTGGACGCCATCAATCAATCGCATCCATTCAAATCATTTCCTACGTCAGAAGCTTCCGACTCATTGGACCGAGACCATTTACGTGACTGACATCCCATGACTGAATCAATTGTTGGAGTTATGATCAGCATGTTACCGGTACCTGTACAGTCGCGTTCCTCGGTGGACTTCAAAGTTACTTTATCGCCATATAAGCCTAAATTATTGTTCTAGAAAATAGACACAATTGGCATCTGTGGCTGGATGAAACTGAACAGTGGCAAATGATTGTCGATGTTGTGCAAGAGCTGTATATCACATCCAATTATAGAAATTCCATAGATAAATGTAATTTCAAAGTATCTTTTGGAACACTCAATGCATGAACTCTGACAGCGCTTTTTGAACCAATTAAAAAGTTTCGTTTCGCTCGGGCAACCACAAATTCAACGCATCACTTTGACATTGATCGGAATCAAATCCAAATATAAACCCATCTCATTTCATGATAATTTTTGGATAGTCGCTGAACAATATCTTCTTCTTGACTATGCCCACCGGAAGGTACGAAAGCAGATCATTGAGCTCCGAATCATAGTTTTTCTCCAAAACTGTGAAATGCTCCTTCAGATCTACGGATTTTCCCTTCAACTGGTGCGATCCCAGAAGCAACATCGGATGCTACAAACGAGTTGAAAATCGTGAGAAACAATAGTATTGTAGTCAAGTGCACCGACACTCGCCGCTGCAACGAACCTTTTCATTCGTCAGATATAACCTTCCAAGTTCGAGGATAGTTTCCGATTCATCCTGCGATGGCATCACAATTGGAGGAAGGAGTTCACCGTTAATCTCTATCAATACCCATTCAGGAACTTCGGGAGTTGGAGAGATCGGAATGCTTTGTGATGGTTGCATATTGTACTGAATATTACTGTAGGTCCTGTTACCTGGGATACCCCGCAGTTTGTCCTAGATCCGGGTTTCTATGATTTCTTTTTAGTCCGTGTGGTCATTTTCACCCTTTTCTGCATTAGTCTCTCATGATGAAATTGACTTAGGGCAAATTAAAAGCGACCAGTCGAGTATTTAACAAGCAGAAATTGCGTTAATTCTTCCACCACTGTTCGCTCTAGTTCGCTCGTCGTGCATTCGCCGAAGCGGAAAATCATGAATTGTCATAAAATGCCGAAATTGTCGTAAATTCCCAACAAGAAATCTACGACAATTCTAACGGTAATTGAGTACAATTGACGACATTTCTAGGCTTTTATACTATGCTGGTGCAACTATTTATACTAAATCCCCCGGGGAAAAAGAAGGGGGAGAAAAAGGAAAGAAAAGAAAACGAAGAGGAAAGAAAAGAAAAGAGGAGAAAGCAACAGGATTGCAATAAAGTGTCTTTACAACACAGCACTGGCCTCATGCATACCGTCGCAAGAATATATGCTCTATGATCCTGGCTCTAGCCAGGATTTTGACGGATTTTGAACAAGGTAACAATGATTATGTTGACCGATGCCTCTGAAACTTTTGAAATGACGTTCGAGCACCTCTAATAACATCATCTGTGCCTTCATATCGCAGATCCAATCAGAAATCGGAGATTTATCGCACTCTGAATTTGAGGTCACGAACATTTCCAGATATGCAGCGCAGAAGTTGATGTCACTGATGATGGTAGTCAGATTTTGCGTCGTCAATGGACTCAATATTTTGGGAATCAAGCAAGGTGAGGAAGGACCAAATCCAGGCACAAGCTCGCCGCCAAAGAGACTACATGTGTATTACATGATTGAAGAAATGCAATAATCAACCGTTTTTTGAGTAAGATGCAAAGGCGAAAACAGAGGCAAACTCTTGCTGGGTTCCTTGATGGCCAAGTTTCCACCATAAGGCCGCGCTACGACAGTTTACTACCGTATGGTCACAGGGGATGGGTTTATTCTGACGAGAAAACAATCAACAAGGCCTTGGTGCACGGAATTGAGACAATGATTAGATTCCAAAGGTGAAGTGACACCTACTACTAGCAACTATGGCAGTTGTTATCAGTTTCTTACAGGGGCATGCTACCATAAGTGACACTGAAACGATAGAAATTAATCTATAATATAAATAGAAGATTGAAAACGAAGTTTCTACAGATGGGCGTATCCGTCACCTCATGCTGTAGCGCTTGTCAATTCGGTTTGGTGGCTGCCACACCTGTTCTTCAGAGCAGCTAGAAGTGATCATAGGGTAACTGTATCGCTAGCTCGTAATCCAGTGGTAAGGTGAGTCATTAAAACAAGGTGCGACAGTGCTTTATAATACAATGGCAGAGTGGCAGGGCCGTATCTAGCCTGGGCCTACGGTACCAGGTACCATCCCCCTATTCATCATTTGCAAGTAATGACGAGTACTAACTTAGTGGAGATTGTCTATTTTTAGTGAATGGCCCGCTGTGATTGGTTCAGACCACTAAAAATGGGTTGATTTTTAGTGATTTGACTAACTCTCATTGGCTGAAAACCCACTAAAAATTGCACCTGCATAATGTAAGAGCCCATTTCGGCTTCATTTCTAACGGTAATGGAGTACAATTGACGACATTTTTAACGGTAATTTAGGACAATTCACGACATTTTTAACGGTAATTTAGGACAATTGAAACGGTAATGGGGGACAATTTTAACGGCCTCGATCGTGCTAACTGAACCGTTTTTTTTTTAAATTGAAAATGTGAGCCTCGCTCGGAAGCAAGTGATCGGTGGACAATGAAAGTGCTATAAATCATTGGGATGGTTGGAAAAGAAGTGACACCGGAACAGGTGCTGATCTACGGATTCGAGACAATT